GTATTGCTTGATACATAATAAGCATTATTATACGTAAGCAGCTAATATTACCAGGTGAGGGAAGGTCTAGAGGAGTTTGAATGTATTTAGTAGGAAATAGTGAACCTTTGTGTCACCAATTCAGTTCTCATATCTACTGCTCTGAATCGTATTGAAGTTTTGCATATTTGTAATAACCTCCCTCATGTAACCTTTCACTCCTGAGAGGTGTATTTCTAACTTTTGTTATGATGTCTCAGTATCTATGACAGTTGTGGACCCACAGTAGGTATTTAGTTAATAATTCATTTTCTCAGGTGAGAGACACCTGAGCTTCTTTAGCCTGTAGTATTAATAACAAAAACATTTTCACACAAATACAAAGGTAAATTCTTGCCCAGAAGTAATCATGTGAACGGTTATCTCCTAGTTTGATGGTGGCTATAGTACTTCTCTTCTGTACTTATAACTCCAGAAATTTAATAGAAATCAGAAACCATTTAACATTTTTAATAATAATAATAATAATAATACATTCATACGTTCTTGGGAAATTTTTCAAACATTGCAGAGTGTATGAGATAAAATATGAAATCACTCCTCTCCCAATTTCATTCCCTTAGTATTTAAGTATGATTGTTTTTGTTTTACAAAAATAAAAATCATTCCTATGAGTAACAAAATAATCTATCCAGAATTGCTTCTTGATCGCCTTTTCTGCCTTTCATCTCCTTGAAACACACAGTACTGAGGCTACAGGTGGATCCTACAGAATGTTTTTGCCTTTCTTCCCTCATCTCCCACTGCTAATTGCTGTTTATATAGTTGGCTGAGCCAGCTTCATGGAGACTACCCCTGGGGAGCGTGAAGACTGTGTACTAGTGTGCTGGAGTATCGTTCCCCACAGGGCTGGGTGGGGAGCGGATCCCAAGCAGAGCACTCCCAGTCCCCTCCCTTTGCCATGTTATTCATAACTGGAAAGAGTATCGTTTAGCCTTTACCAGTCATTTAGTGGACCCTCCCTGAGTCCTGTAAGATCATACTTATCCTGAAGTTGGAGTGTGGATCTGTTGAGACCTTTGGTACTCTTATCTCTTTCATTCACCAGTCCACCTGAATTTGAAGGTTCGCTTTCATATGTCTTCAGGCCAGTAAATCCTGCAAGGGCTTCTGAAGCATACTGCTTCATGTAGGTGGGTGGGTGAGTGAGTGGGTAGATAGGTCGGTAGAGATAATAACACTGAGTTGATAGAAGGAGAGGAAGAGAGTTGTTTTACTTTTAGGATGCTTAGAACAGCTATGGAGAAATCATCTACAATAGCCTAACATTAAGATAATGAAAATAATTTATACAGTGATGGATGACGATAGTAGACTTTTCCCCTGAAAAATTATAGGTAAAAATTTAAAGTTTTCATAGCATAATTTCTAAGAACTAAACAAAGAGAAGATTTTCATGTAAAGCAAACTTTCATACCATGTAGAGATTATTCTTGGACACTGGAGACTGCTGAATTTTGATGCTGTGTAACTAAAATGAAAGACCGTTATGAATCTTTATCTCTAGGGAATGTCACTCTCATTTTCTTAAGAATAGCACAATAATTCAGTGCTTCAGCATATTGGCTTCCTCTTATTGATTCCATTTTTCTTTTCATTTTCTTTTATATTAAAAATACTTTATAGGCTTTATTACAAAAATAACATATGCTTATTATTAGGAGTACAAGAGAACTTGAGGATTGGGGATAGATATGTTTGCTGTTTTGATTGTGGTGATGACTTCATTGTGTGTACATATGAAATGTGTACATATTATATATATCAGATGGGCTAAATTTATACTATAAATAGATACAGTTTATTGTATGCCAGTTAGTCCTCAATAAAACTTTTTAATTTTCTGATTTAATAACTAAAAACTAGATTTACTTTGTTGTTAATAGGTATTTTCATTTGTTAGAGATGGAGCAGGTTTATTGGATCAGCCATTTTGTATTTCATCTTCTGTGAATAATTCAGTTTGCCTCTTTTTCTGTTGTATTTCTTGTCAATTTGTGTAACTTACTCTTGCATTAGTAATGATAAAACTCGTTGTGTCTTTCTTACCTGTTGAAAATATTTCCCCCTGGTTGGCTTACTTTTGATTTTGAGGTCCATTTCTCTCACTCTCTTTTTCCCTCCCTATGACTTACCCTCTCTTTTTTCCTTTCTGGTTTTTAGGTTTTCTGTCTCACTTAAGAATTTTCCAGACGCCAGTTATACTCCCAAATTATTTTATTTTATTTTTATAGTTGTTATGTTAGATTTTACTTTATTTTTATAGTTATGTTAGATTTTACTCCTTCTGGAAATTTTTTTGTGTGTGGACTATACACTAAAGGGTTAATTTTATTTTCTTTCTTGAAAGTACCCAACTTTTACAAATACCATAGGATAAATACCTCCCTCTTCCTTCAACACACACACACACTCTTCCCTCAACACACACACACACTCTGAATTGAAATGTAACCTTTATCTTCCATTAAGTTCTCAGATAAGCTCCACTCTTTTTTAGGATTATCATTGTTCCATTAATCCCTTTGTATATTCTTACTGTTTAATCACAGTAGTTTCACAGCAAGTGTTAATACATGATAGAGCATGCCCCTCTTCATAGTTTGTCATTTTCCAAAGTTACCGAGTAGTTTTTCATATACAAATTGGAAAGGTATTTAGTTCTAGTTCCTTCCCCAGACACATTTGCTTCCGATTGGAAATGACATTTTATTTTTGGAAGGATTAATATTATTGCATTAAGTATTCCTCTTCATTCATCTTTTCTGCTTTATTTTATGCAGAATAACTGATTATAGTATTGATGGTTGATTCTTCCTTTAAAAATAGTAGAGGGCCAGATGGGAAGACACCTTGACTGGGCCCGGGATAGTGGCAGAATCATGTCAGTTGCACTCCCGCCCTGGGAGTGTGGAGATGTTCTTAGTTCCTGACTAATGTGTTTGTTCAGGAGAAAGGAGTGGGTGGAACCTGGGCTCTCCCAGGCTCCTTGTTTTCCTGTGAAACCCCTTGTTGGATTGGAGTATACATAGATGTGCTGCGTGGCTCAGGTGGTTGTCTGTCTGTCTCTCCAGCAGAGGAGGTCAGCAGCCCTCCCAGCTCCCAGCTTGAAATCTATCTCTGGGTCTTCTTCTCTCTTTATTTCTAATATTTCTCAATCACTGGGCACCTCCACTTAGAACCGGTTCATTCATCTCTCTTTCCATGGGGAACATGGAAAAGGGAGATCCCTGCAGCTTCAGGCCCCCGCATGAGACCTTTCTGTAACTTTGGATGTGTTTTGTTTACGATAGTGTGTTTTAATGGCCATCAAGTTAATGTTAAAAGCCTTAGAAAATGCTGCTGAAGGTTCTGTTTCCTGCACTTCTCAGTAGGTAGAGAATCCCTTCTCGAATTGAGGAAATTGGGAGGAGAGAGAAAGAAATCATTGCTTCCTTGTTTGAAGGAAGTGATGCTCATCATTAGGAGGAAACTAAGTGACATACATCCAGATTTTCTTTGATCCCTAAGGATTTGATGTCTAAAATGTGAGGTGGGAAGGGGAGTGTTGATCAAAATGCTAACATTTTGAAGCCATCTCTGCCAACAATTTCCTGAAGGACAGAGGTTCAAAACTGCAGATTAGCATGTTTTCAGTAAAATTACGGCTTTGCTTTTTATGGAATAAAATGGGAGGTCAGGAGGTGAACTGTTGAGGAGGGAGGGTTTTGCCAAATGTATTACCCAAAATTTAAATTCGGATTTTGTATGTGAACTTAAAAAACAGAAGTAAGAGGAGGACTGTGGAACTAAAATAGCTTATAATAATTTCTATAGTTACTGCACGTTCTTTATGATATATCAAATATCACACTAAATCCCAAGCAAGCATGTGGGAATGGATATTGTGTGGAGGAGACCTGCTATGTTGTTAACCTGATAGTGTTGGCAGTAATTATGGAAAACTTCTTGAATATTTTGAAGTTAAGGAAAAGTATTATTAACCCGGTAGCCAAAATTTAAATCTGTACCTTGAAATCCAAAGGTTAATTCTTTTTTATAATATACTTTCTCCTGAACTCTATGCTCTTAAAATTGGAATGTCTCTGTTGTGTAGTTTTGAGAATTTCATTTATAATGTCATTCTATTGTTATAAATTGCAATTTAATGAATTTGATTTGTTTCCCCTAAGAATCACTAAAGGAATAGAATGCCCTAAAGAGAATACTAAAAAAAAAAAAAAAAAAAAAAAGAAAAGAAAATACTAATGGCAAAAACTAATTTCAACTCTTATAATTTATTTTGTATGAGAAATTTCCTGGCATTTTTTAAAACTTGAAGGAAAATTTTTCACTCTGATAACTAGTTAACTTGAATATGATCTTGGATCTGTCTGGTAATCACAAATTGACTGATGTTGGGTATGTGTTTGTGTGAGCATACATCTACATATACTAGTGTCCGGATGCACTAATGAAGATTCTTGCAAGAATGGGCCTTCGTTCCCCTGGCTGCTGGCACCGCCTTTGCTCTGGCTGGAGCACCCTTTCCGTTCCAGCCCGGAGCCACCTTTCTGCCTTAGCACTCTGACCAGAAGCCCGAGTGGCTGGGGTGGTGCAGAACGCCTGCACCGTCCCAAGTGTCCACCCCATCCCGGCTGCTTGGCACCTGTGTATGCAAACTAACCCACCATCTTTGTTGGGTTAATTTGCATACTCACTCCTGATTGGCTGATGGGCATCGCAAAGATACAGTCAATTAACATGCTGTTCATTAGGTAGGGGTGTGTGTGTGGGGGGTGTGTGTGTGTGTGTGTGTGTGTGTGAAATATTTCCCCCAATTGTAAGGCAGTAGTATTACATTTTACCTGAGCAGTGAAAGAGTATTCAGATAATCTTGTATAATCACCTTAAAAATAATTATGGAATGAGAATTAAAAATCACTTTTTCTCCTTATTTTTTCTCTCACTATTTCTTATAGGGTAACCAGGAGCCAACAACAACTCCTGATGCAATGGTTCAGCCTTTTACTACCATCCCGTTTCCACCTCCTCCACAGAACGGAATTCCCACAGAATATGGAGTGCCACACACTCAGGACTATGCCGGCCAGACCAGTGAACATAACCTGACACTCTACGGAAGTACGCAAGCCCACGGAGAGCAGAGTAGCAACTCACCCAGCACACAGAATGGATCTCTTACGGTATGTGAATTATGAGGTGGAAAGTGGAAGGGTATGTGTCCTCTTTGAGATCATCACCTTGTCATACCAGAAACCCTTTTGAATTAATTTAGCATTTACACTACATATCATTTATGTCGATTTAATTCTAATCCAAGCATGTAATTAGAAGATAAGAATTTAGCATTGAAACTCACAGCCCCAGCTCAGGAGCTTACAGACTGGAGGTGGGTCAGTTTAACAAGATAAGTGCAGTGGTGAGACTAAGCTTAGGGGGATGCTGCTCTTCTCCATTTCACCAGGAGCTTCCATTCTGCAGAGATCTCATGGTCCCTTCTCCGTTCTCAAACACAGTCCCTCAGCAGCATTCTGCACATTGCCTTCTCCCTCCTCCTTGAAATGCTTAAGTCTGTTGGCTTTGTGATCCCACTATTTTCCTCCTAAGCCGTGAGAGTTCTTTCTTAGTCTCTTTTGCTGGTTCTTGTTCTCTCTCCTCAACTTTTAAATGTTGCACTACTTTAGGCCTGGGTAGTATTTTATATTCTCTCTATACTTGTATATAGTTGTGCTACTAAATTTGTCTAGTTTCTCAAGCAAAACCTGGGAGTCGTTCTTGTTGTTGTTGTTGTTGTTGTTGTTATTGTTGTTGTTGTTTTTCCTTCATCTTTACATCTCATCCATCAGCAAGTATTGGCAACCATAACTTGAAAATATTTTCTTCAAGCTCTTCTTGTTATTTTAAGAATACAGCTGGATAGTGTTCATGACTAAGAGCTCAGCTCTTCTGTCAGATTTCTTGGGTTTGGGTCCTAATGTGGCCCCTACTTAGCACTATGACCTTGGGCCGGTTATTTAATCTCTTCACCTTGGCTTGCTCATTTGTAAAGTGAGGACATTCGTACCTGCCTCAAGTGGCTGTTGGGAGACTGAAAAGAGTTTGAGTTGTGTGAGGTAGTTATCATTGTCACTACTCTAATTCAGACCTTATCACTTTTTCCTGTATTGCTATTGCCATTCTCCACATAGCAGCCAAGATAGGTGTTTGTTGTTGTTGTTTTAAATGCAAATAATGCTATTTTCCTGCTTAACTCTAGTGGTTTTCCAACATACTCAGACTAAAATCCAAACTCTCTACTTGCTTTACTAATCTCTGGCCCCAATCCCTTTGACTTCACTTCTTACTATTACTTACTAAAGTAAAGGAACTATCTTAAATTAACAGTAGCTTTGTATCACATATATATTATCCTACAGGAAATCATATTGTTTGTGGGATTGTATAGTATATTTCTGACACTAAAAACACTCTACACTCTACATAGAAATATCTCCCTGTAGTTTTTAAATTCTTTTGCCTTTCCTCTATCAGATTATCAGGGGAAGAGCTTTATTCAGCCATTAGCCATATGATAAGATTTGTATGTATTTCTTTTAAGAACTTTGCCTGGACTTAAGCTACTCTGTGCAGCCACTAATGTTTTGCATAGTGATTTTCACTCTCGTTTTTACATTTAAGCCTGACTAGAAGTCACCCTGTGTCTCCATGGCTTAGTGGTCAGCCAGTCATCTGGGCAGAGGTGTGCTGAAGCATCTCCAGCTTGTAAAGCTTTCACCATCTCTTTGTGGGTGGGAAGCACATTTGGAGTTCAGCCAGTTCTTAAGTTTTCCTTGGATTTTTCTTTCTCTTGGGGCCTCTCATATCTCCCATTCATCCGTATGGATTCATAGTCAGTAAGGAGAGTGTATCCAGCTCTTCTGTGATTGTATCATTTCCAGGGTCTCCCCTTTAGATTTTTGGCTGGCCCACCACTCACTCACCCTGATTAGACCACAACCTCAAGCTAGAAAAACTATTTTCCATTAGATTTCTACTAAGTTTGCCTCTTTATACCAACAGAGCTATGGGTTTTCTGCCGTCTCCAAATGCCTCTGGTTGAGTCCACTGGTTTCCATGGCCCCAGCCTTGGGCTATAAAACCAAGTTCTCACCAGCACTGCTGAGGGTTTGGGATGGGTTAGTGGGTTAGAATAGCTCCAGGCAATAAGTTTGTAGACTCCTGCTGGTCTTACTTGAAGCTCTAGCAATTTTTACAAGAAATTTCTCTGTTTATTAATTGCCTTTGATTGATTTCCAGAACCCTGAAATGACTGTTGGACAACTTTGTCCAGTGTTCTTATTGTTTTCTTGTTTTGAGGAGAGGATTCCCTGACCTGTTCATGCCATCGTAGCTAGAAGCCCCTTCCCATTTCATGATAGTTTACAATACTCACTGCCTCTCCTCACTGCTGCCCGTTTCTCTTCCTCTTTTTTCCCTGTTGCCACCATTTCCCATTTTTCAGGCTCCCGGATTGTATGTTTCTGAATGGTAGTATTAAAGGCGAGCTCTGTTTCTAAATATCAATCTATACAGTTAAGACAACCATTTGCTGTACAGTTTGGCATTATATTGACCAATTTGTGTTCCTGAAGAAATATTGAAATGATAATAGAAATCCATGTGACACCCTGTTTAGATTGTGAATTTATTGGTGCTGAGTAGAAAATGGAAAGGGACTAGTAGAAAATGGAAAGCTGTGCCTACAAACAGAGATAGTACCAATTATAATTTGGGAAATGCTAACAATAGTAAATTATTAGGGATCTCTGTTGAAGGTATTATATTTTTAAGTGTCATTTTAAACGTGAGTGAATTTGCTGTTCTTAAGCCACTTGCCTTTGGAAGTTGTATGTATGTGTGTATGTTCTTGCGGGATGAGTGTATATAGAGAGATTGAGGAGGTGAGCAGTGTATCATAAAATCTGGATTTGACAACATTACATATTATTCTGTTAAACTTTTACTACCTAATTAAATGTTTCTTAAAATGGGTGGGTCTGGTGATTCCTGTGGCCAATTAAATTCAAAAGGTAGCTAGGAAGCAATGTTATTTATCTATAAATAAATGATATCTGAACTTTGCATAACACTTTTTATTTAAAAATTGCTTCCACAAACAGTATTTTATTGTGGTTCATAAAATAACCCTTTGTGATATATTAAGGTATTCAAAGTCCATACGTTTCCCTCCAGCACTCTGCCTCCCACTGCACAGCAGAAGGCAGTGTGGCTCTGCGCTGGTCCTCTGAGCCAGCGGTCACCAACCTTCCGGACCTCATGGACCATCAGTGGTCTACAGGCCACTGCTTGGCAAGCGCTGCTCTAAGCAGGCTCTCGGCCTCCTTTCCCACTCAGCCAAGTCAGCTCTGCTGGAATCCGTGCCTGGAGTGTGAGTGAAGCCCGATTTGTGTATTCTTGACTTAAGCTCAAGTAGAGTCCTAAGCTGACCATTGTGTGTGGTACTTACAAGGTTTGATTTATTCTGTACTTTTGTCTCCCTAACTAAACTGTAAGAAAAGGTTATTTTTTAAAAAGTATATTTTATTGATTTTTTTACAGAGAGGAGGAGAGAGGGATAGAGAGCTAGAAACATCAATGAGAGAGAATCGTAGATCAGCTTCCTCTTGCATACCCCCTACTGGGGATGTGCCCACAACCAGGGTACATGCCCTTGACCAGAATCGAACCCTGGACCTTCCAGTCTGCAGGCCGATGCCCTATCCACTGAACCAAACCAGTTTCGGCAAAAGTTATATTTGTTCATCTTTGCATTCCCTGACTTTTCACATATTTGGTCCTTAATAGTTACTCAGTAAATATTTTTTGGGGTAAAAAAATGAAAGAAAATACAGGTGTGCCAGAAGAGATCTGAGGAGAAAGAAGAGGGTTGGGGGAGGGGAGCAACTTAGTGGAATGGTGTTGATCTGGGCCTTGTATTGAAAGTGATTAGAACTCGAACATGCATAGGTGGTGGAGGGAGGAATAGGAAAGTAATTTCTCAAAGCAAAGGTGGAGAAATGGGAAAAATCAAAATATCTTTAAATGAAAGCATGGATTTCCATTCAGCTAAAGTTTTGGGTGTTGAGGCAAACCAATGGGAAGTAAGCTGGAAGAAGGTCATTGGAGTACCTATTAGAAAGAGTATTTGAACACCTAATTGAGAAATAACTTTATTGAAGGTTTTTGTACAAATCCATGGAAGTGAGAATTGTACTTCAATCTGTGTATGCAAGATGAGTAGAGAAGTCAGGAGACTCTTAAGAAAGTGTCTTAGGCTTGGAGTTGATAATGAGATTCTGGACTAGGAGTTGCAGTGCTCATGTAGAGGAGAGAATTAAAGAGAAATTATGAAGATAGTATATACAGGACTTGACAGCTGTTTGTATGAGTAAAATAAGATCATTGTCAAAGATTGTGTATTTCTTATGCAATAATTGTGTCCTGAATAAATCATTTTACCTCCCAAGTTCCAGTTTCCTCATCTATCAAACGAATATATCTGACAGGATAAGAGTGAGAATAAATTATAAATGTTTGGAAATTACTTGCCTAAATAGCTCTTTAAGATAATTGCTTTTTAAATCAGTTCTGATTGATATCGCTTACTTGTGTGTTTTTTATTGTGAGCTACAACTGTATTTTAATACTGGTCTTGTTGATGTTGGATAGTCCCATCTTATTGATGGGGAGAACAAAAGAAAGGACTTCTCATACGAAAAGGAGAAGTAAGCAATGAAATCTGGAATTTTATCTCTAAAATGTTTTTAGAATTGATTTAACGTTGTGCTCTTAAGATGAGAGCTTGTTTTGACAGTCAGTTGGTCTCACACTGTGCATTAGCGAGAGAGAGCAGTTAGGGGTCTCCCACCTGGGTCTGCAGAGGCTTGATTATCCCTGAGCCTGCTGCAGAGAAGAAAGGACAGCAGTTCCTGTATATTTAGATGTCTTTCCAAATGCCAGCAGGCATGAAAAACAAAAGCATTTGAAGTAAACAAGCTTTGGCGAATAATCTTCAGATCTAAGGTTCATATTTATATACCTATTCTGCCTTCTTATTAGATTATACATTTCTTGAGGGCAGGAACCATTGTCCTCTTCTTATTTCTCCTGTTGGTATATAATTGATGTTTATTCTTGGGCTTTC